AATTCATTGAACTTTTTTTTATTTTGATTCTACAAATCTCTAGGATTAAAATAAAAAAAAATTTTACTGAATTTTATCAAGTAGTTATTGAGGAACCATTGCTAGAAGAAAAAAAAATTTTCGAATTTTCTTTTTTGATTCGCCCATTAGAACGTTACACAGATCAGATGATCATCACGTGCGGGGAAAATTTCTTGGAGGTGAGGTGTATAATTTTACTCTGTCCTTATAGGTTTTTTTTTAATAAGCCAAATAGCTTGGAATTAGAGGTGTTTTTGAACCCCAAATAGACTAATCTTTTATTACAAATTATTCTCATGTTCACCACTTTTCAGTTTTATTACCATTGTATTACTCTTCTAATCCAATATCTCAACTACTGAAGATGTTGATACTACTCTAGTTATCTATAATCAAGGACTAATATATACAACTATCATATAACAGAACCTTCTATAACTTAATATTATATATAATACTACTACTTCACAATTAGACCTCTTTCTGAAAATTTTCTTTTTTAGTTTTATACTTGTATTTAAACTTAACTACAGGAGCCTGCATTCAATTATAGCCCTCTTATGGATTACAAAAGCAAAAAACCCTAAGATTTTGTCTTTAGTCTAACTTATACCATCAACCTAGTCTGTGGAGGTTTGGCAGCTTAACTGCTAAGTTATAAAACCCAAACTCTAAACTTTAACTCTTAATAACTTCTTTAAAGTAAAAAATAATAAAAAATTCTTTGACAAAAATGTAGTTTGGCTAAAAATTTATCAATCTGTCAAAGAGTTTTTTGATTTAACTCATTTTAAAAAAAGTTTTATAATTTAAAGTTTTTATATATAAAAAGTGGATGTCTCATACTGTCCAGTACTGTATAAAAAATTTTAATTTATTTTAATGAGATAAATAGGCTTTTTTTAAAAACTAATTTAAATAATAACTATAACAATATCTATTTTAAACATCTAATACAGAACAGTAAAAGATATCTAATCTATACATAAATGTTATTAAAAAAAACCCCAAAAATTTAAATATAAATCATATTTAAATTTTTAGGGTTTCTTTTAGCAACACTCACATATAGGCGTCAATTTTTGGTGCTTATATCATCAATTCTGATTGGCTAATTTTGTGTAATTGATTCTGATTGGTTAAAAAATTTTTCTATAAAGAAGAAAACCCGAAAATTTAAATATAAGTCATACTTAAATTTTCGAGTTTTCTTTTAACACAACTCATATTAAACGCCAACTTTTTAAACTCATATAACTTTAATCCTTTATAACTTTTTCAAAACAAAGAATAAAAAAAATCCCCTGACAGAAATGTAGTTTATCTAAAAATCTAACAATTTGTCAGAGATTTAGCTTGTTTTAAAAAGTTATAGCGCTTTAAAGTTTTTATTAATAAATATTGGATGCGTTTTACTGTCCGGTACTGAACCCTAACCCTAAAATATAAAATCGGATCATTATGGTATGAATTACCAGACTAATCTGGTAAAATTCGAATATGCGGATCTAATCAAATCGGCTGATTTCAAAAATCAGACATTCGAATTTTAAATAATCCCTAACCCTAACGCTAATTTGGAATGGTTTTTTTTTTTTAATTTTGATCTACTCACCCATACCATAACGATAATGGTCTGCGAAACACCTTATATAGTGTATACAAGTCAATTTTACGTATTAAAAACTATACTAACTAACTCGGGTAATTCGTACCATACTACGTATATAATCTGTGTAATCTGGACTATAAAGTATAAATAGAATTTTTATAAACAAATCATCATTATTATTAATACTAAATTTAGTTGTGTTACTGAACAACCAGACAATTAGTAGTTATTATCGAAACTTGTGCATTTGGAGGTGTGACAATAAGACTTTAAAAGAAAAGTATGTATATTAATAGCCAAAATAGAAACACAGGAAGTTAGATATGGCCACCGTTTAAAACTCAGCGTTTTCAGAATTTTATAACAGTCTGGTCTAAATAAAGACAAAAAAATATTAGAATAAAGAAATTAAATGTCGAAAATAAGAAGGGATGAATTCAAACATATGAAAAAGGCATAATTAGATTATGAAAATGATACACAAAAAAATAAATAACGAATGGATATTCCGAATAAAGTTGATACGTAGGTACAGTACATACTTGTTATCATAACAAGGATATTTTAAAAATAATTATGCATTAAATAGGAGAATATAGCTCGAGAAGTCGGCCTCACTGTAAGCAGCAAGTTTAAAAAAACAATGTATGCGCAGACAAAGATGTTTAAAAGCAGGTTATAAAACCTTGAAGGATATATACGTACGAGCCTCTATCGCTATATAAATTCTTTCTAAATGCATTATAAAAGCTCTATTTTGCTCTCTACGAGTGCAAATGGACACCAGGGGGTGCATTTAGGGAGGTTTGACTGTACTGAACTGTACGTAAATACCAAATGTCCTACCTAAATCAGAACAGACATTTGACAATTTATTATACAAATTAACTTATTTAATAAAAGAGTAAATTTAGAATTGAATTCGAATCGAATCATCCAAAGATTTATCGTCACGGTTATTATCTAATGTCCACACGTTGCCAAAAATGGGATCATTCAGTTTAAAGAAATAGACCCGTAGAATGTATATATTTTAATCTCGTGACAAATGAAAAGACAAATGATGACAAATGATTGACAGTGTACTCTTAAGCTAGTACTCTTAAGCTAGTACGTACTCTTAAGCTATTTATGTATTTATTGAGAGCAATAATTGAATTAATCTAATTTAATTGATTTTAATGAAACACTTTATTGTTAATAAGAAAGATAAATTTAATGATTTCTGAAGTTACCTTCGTTAGGTAAAACAAAGGCCGTCATGTAGCCTTTGATGTGCAATCGAGTTAGATTGGTAGATTAATTAAAAATGTAGGCCTTGATTGTCTAAATAGTGGTCCAAATATATAATATACAAGGTCCTTTTGATCGGTACTACTTTTGTAAGACCACCCACGTGGGACCGAGTAGGACTTATTAGTACAGGGTGAATTTTGTAATGCAGAACACGAATCAATCCAGTGGAATAATATGTAGTTTGAAATTAGTTTTCTGTTTTATCTATTTATACACAGATACTTTTCCAAGATTGGCAATTTTTCGAGCGGTAGGCTACAAAAACCTCTAGTCGCAACTTACTAGAGGTTACATAGCACTCTGGTCACCCATCGCTTGATAGAATTTCTTTTAGTCTGTCTATAGTTGTGAATACTGGATTATATTAAAGGAAAATTCGTCAAACTGGGTTCCCAGATTTCGACGAGTGGAGGTGCGCTGCATTCCGGCGAAAGGAGGAATAGTGACAGTCAAAAGTGTAAATCGCCTATACGTGAACGATCTGGCTCAAGGAACGATGTTCAACCATCATTCACTGGCCTTTACAGTCACAGTAACTCCTCTACTTCAAGTCTCGGTAGAAAGAAAAACAAGGCTGACAGAATCGTTGAGATTAGTAAGCCTACAGATTTTGAACATGGAATCCACGTGGAATATAATACCGAAAGTGGCAAATATTTGGTAAGTTCTTGCATAACGGATATAATGGATTTTCTTATGCTTTGATGAATGAATCATCAAGGTTTAGTTAAATTCTAATTATTATATAACTTTCAATTCTTGAATTCTTGTTTACATACATTGAATATTGCAATTGATGTATGCTTATTTCTATCTTCTCAGGGTCTACCTGATGTTTGGGTAAATGATAAGGTCCAGAGCGATGAGGTGCTAAATACAAAGTATCTAAAACCTTATCTTGTTCCATCCCCAGGCACTCTCGGTATGTTATTACTAACTTATAAGAACTTTAAGAATTGTTCATTGAGAGCTCTTAATTTAATCTATTTTATCTCTTAGAACAAGAGGTTACGGGAAAACAAATTGGAAATCCTTATAATTTTAAACATAAGGTTCATGTTGTTGTGGATGAGTCTGGATTTATGGTATTTGAATTAATAATTTTTGGGGTTTTTTTTTTTTTTTTTTTTTTTTTTTTTAACATACCTATTGAATTGTTGAATATTGCAGGGTCTTCCTCCTCAATGGGAACGTTCATTGGCTCATCAACGTTCGATATCTCTGGACTCTCAAACTGTTCAACCAAATAATAATACCACGTCAAATACATTACCTCCTCCTCCGAGAAAATTATCAAGCCCATCTTTTTCCAATCATTCGCCTGATATATATAATGATTCAAAACCTTTTCCAATACCTACCCATCGAAAAAATTCAGATGGATCTCAAAAGTCTGATAATGGTTCTATAAAATCTTATTCTATTTCTCCCTTAAATAAAGACAATAGCACGTCTCTCATGTCAAAAGCGAATCTATCCCAAGAATCAATCACCTCTGTATCTACAAGAAATTCTGCTGCATCTATTCCTCCAAAAACTCCTCCAAAAACTCCTCCAAAAGGTCTACCAAAAATTCCACTAAAGATCACACCAAAAAAAACACTAAACATAATACCAGGGGGCCAAATACCTAAACCACCACCAAGAGATTCTCCACGCATTACTTCACCTTTATTTAAAGGACCACCTACTTCACCACCTCCTCCAACTCCACCACCAAGAGAAAGAGTTTCATCATCCGTGCAACGAAGGATTCTTAGCACTCAATATAATAATGACAATGATAACACCGATCTTTTTCACGGACCAGCATCACCATCTCTTACTGTAACAGCTGCATCACTTAAAAAAAAACTATCAGCTCCTCAGATTCATACTTCTGGTGGACAACTTGTGGATATTTCAGCATTATATTATCCATATGAAAAACCTAAGTCGCCTGCGCTACCTCCGCCTAGGCACATCCAAAAAATGTCACCATCACGTCCAAGCAGAGAAAATATTAATAGTTATAAAATGGAAAATATTACAGAACCAACATCTGAGGTAAAAAATTCGCCGGTTTCAAATACACCCAGGAAACTTTCAGATACCTCTCAAAAATATGTAAACCATAATAACATTACACGTGCACAAAAAGCTTCTAGTGAGATAGTATCTAAGCAAATTGATCATGCATACCTAAATAATTCTAATGTCACTTCTCCATCGACTCAGAAAGTAAATACAATTTCTACACTAACACAAAAAGATTTGGACAATAACAAAGTAACTGTTAATAATAATAATACTCAAGAAAATTCGAAAGAAATAGTAAATAATATTCAAGAAGATATCATAACAACATTGGACAATACTCAGGATGATTCGTCTGTTATAACACACGCTGATGTATCTGATACAAAACTTTCAACAGAATCTATAAGTTCTTATTCAAAACAGAAATGCTCAGATGATCCAATATCTACGAAAAAAGATTCATGTCCATCGTTAACAGAAAGTTTGAACAATGACTCATGTGAGTCAAAAACAGCCACATTAGACGTTAATTTAGAAAATGAATCTAAAGTTTCCAACATAGTTTCTGAATGCTCTTTGAAAACACCTACGGAAAAAGATTTAAATCCATCGTTAACAGAAAATTTGAACAATGACTCGTGTGAGTCTAAAACAGCCACATTAGACGTTAATTTAGAAATTGTGTCTAATTCCAACATATCTTCTGAATATTCTTTGAAAACAATGGACAATAGTTTTATTCATCAAATACAAGAATTACACCCAAAAGACAGAAAAATAATAAATCGATTGTCTTTACCTACATATCTTCCATCTTTAATGAACAATTCATTAGTATCAACAACATCGGTGACAAAATTATCGAGATTGTCTGAAAACTTATCCACATCAGACGTCTGGAAATCATCAAATATATCAAAAGATATGCAAACTGATATTGAAATACCTTGTTCAAATCCGGAAACATTACCACAGGATGTTCAGCATTTAGGTTTGCAATTTATTTTCTATGAAAAATATAATTATTATATTTTTGCTAACTTTATTTTATTATAGCCGAATTGTTCGATATGCGTGATCCAAATCAAATTTATGAAAACTTGATTCCAATCGCTGAAGGAGAATCGGGTAATATGCATTCCGCGAGTAAAAAATCTTCACAGGAACCGGTAAGATTCTTTATTATACTGATAAAATAAACCGATTCTTGTATATATCTTATTTATAAAAAAAAATTATATACATATATAGGTTGCTATCAAGATAATTCCTTTTTCAAGTGTTGACAAATTAAAAATAATAAAAAATGAGTTGACTATTATGAAAACAAGTCGACAACCTAATATTGTTGAATATATAGGGTGTTACTGTGTGTCAGATTCTATATGGGTTAGTTTGAATTTATTTTCTATTTTTCCTATTTATTTTATTTATATTTTTTTTTATTTATTTACTCTTTTTTTTTTTTTTTTAATATTTTTGATAATAATAATAATAATAATATTCATAGGTGGTTATGGAGTTTATGGAAGTGTCTTTGGCCGATCTCATCGCTGACGAACTGCAGATGAGTGAACCTCAGATAGCGCTTGTTACTCGAGAGATTTTGAAAGCTTTGACATATCTTCATAGCCAACAACGAATACATAGAGATGTTCGTAGCGATAATGTCTTACTAAACGCACGGGGAGATATTAAACTCAGTAATGTCATTTTACTTACCATTAATCATTTATCATAGATTATATAATGATTTTAAATACAGTACTGACGCGATTGATTATATAAATATTAATTTAAATATTTGCAGCTGATTTTGGGCATGCTGCACAGTTGATCGATACGGAGCCTTACCGAAAATCATTTATAGGTACTCCTTATTGGATGGCTCCTGAGGTTATAAAAACCTTACCTTATGATACAAAGGTTCAATTTCTATTCCTTGTAAAAATTTATTGCCTGTTAGAATGATTATATTCTTATGACTTAGGTCTTTTTTTAGGTGGATATATGGAGTCTTGGCGTCCTATTGATTGAAATGGCAGAGGGAGCACCTCCGTATATGGATATGCCACCCCTAAAGGCTATATCTTTGATAGTTCAGAAAGGTCTCCCCGACTTGAGTAATCCGGAACAGTGGTCTGATGCATTCAAAGATTTTATTGCAAGTTGCACTGAAGCCGATGTTAGCAAAAGAAAAACTGCGGAAGAAATGCTTTCTGTAAGTTTTTTAACTCATTTAATTATTATTGTTAAGTAGTTAATTATTGTGATTTATTATGATTTATTGTGATTTATTGTGATTTATAATCTTGCACGTAGCATCCTTTTCTTGAACATGTCTCCACATCAAGTGATTTTCAACAAATAATAGAGAAATATCGACAATTAGAAGCAGAGAGAGAAGAATCAGACTAATAATTCATTGATCCAAGAGAATATTCAAACACTGAAGAAGATAATAATAATGTGGATCATAATGCTAAAAGTAGTATGTAATTTGCAAGGCATTAATATTATGTGAAGTACATTGGGATTACTGGGTTTATGGGTTTATTGTATTTAAGTTATTTTAATTTATGGCAAGTTGATTCCTTTTTTTCCTTAGGACTGAAAATATTTAAATTTCTTTTCTTAATGTAGTATTATTTGTATGATAAATTATTATTTTCATATAGCAAGCATATATAATAGTATATATTGCTTTTCAGTATAAAATATTTTCACTTTACAAATCACATACATAAAAAAAAAAAAAAAACTTTAATGTAACCAAACTGATAAATATTTACTGTTACGTTAAAAGTGTTCAGTTTCACTTTTGTTTATCGGAAATCGTACTCCAGAATCAAATACATTACCCATGAATATTGGTAGTTGATCCGTGGGTTCTTGTTACGAATGTTGCTGAATGTTACACGGGTCCATGTGCACAATGTACACATAATAATTGACCGTTGTACCAAGTTGTGCACATGATTTTTAACTCTGATACAAGGCTGCAACACCAAACCTCCGAAATTCCGGCATTTATTATTCTTTTATGAAATAAAAGTCATTTTCCTGTTTACAATCATTCACCTTTTAGAGGTTTCGTCAAGCTTGTAATTATTATTTTACAATACAAAAAAGTTTAAATGGATCAACAAAACGGAACGTCCCGTTCAGAATCTGTCCCTCCACCACCTTCGCAACATCCTGAAACTGTTTCTGGTGGCGGCACCCACCCTTACTCTTCAAGAAAGGATCGTTCTTTGTCACCTAGAAGTGGCTATCGTCGTTCATCTTACTCTCCGCGACGAAGAAGTCCTTCCCCCAGAGGTTACCGTAATGGTAGAGAGGAGAGATATAGAGAAGATCGGTATACTAGAGAAGATAGATATGATCGAGGTTATCCCAGAGGTGGAGGTTATAGAGAAGACAGAGGGTATCGTGATAACTTTTACGGTTCTGAAAGACGAGGTCCTCCAAGAAGAAGTAAACCGATTGATCGGTAAGATTTTTTTCTTTTCTTTTTTTTTTTTTTAGTTAGAATTTTTAAAATTTAAATTTTCTAGTGCTAATATATTATATAATATTATAGTGGTAGTGAAAAAGAAAGACGTGATTCTACTACTCTTTACGTTGGTAATCTCCCTTATGCATTTCGTGAACAAGATGTCGCTGATATGTTCGAACGCTATGGTCGTCTGAGAAAAGTGACTGTCCAAATTGATCATTATACTGGAAGGAATAAAGGGTTTGCACAGATAATCGTTATTTTTTTTTTTTTTACTAGGGTAAAGAAATTTATGTAAACATTAAGAATTGATTGGAAATGTTATTGGATGTTCAGTTTTGCTTTCGTAGAATTTGAAGACCGAAGAGACGCTGAAGATGCATTTGATAAATATAACGGAACTAACGTTGAAGGCCGTCGGCTTAAATTAGATTGGTACTTACTTTTTTACATTTTATAATTTCGAGTTAACATAAAATATCTATCTACCATAACTTATTTCTTCAATCTTTAACGTGTAGGGACATTGGCTTGAGCAAAAAGGATGCTCACCGTAGGGATAAATATGCCGTTATGGATAATTATGGGTATGTTTTAAAGTCTATTCATGCGTTTTTATTATCATTGTGTAAACATCATATATTAACTCATACTTTATTTTGTCATTTTTCAGACGACCTGACCCTTGTAAGTAGATGATTAAATTTTTTTTCCTGTTTTCACCCGAAATTTTATTAACCTTAAAACTCTTCCAATCCTTAGACCAACGTGGTTCCTCACCATTCATGCGTGGACTTAGCCCACCCTACAGGACTGGCGGCCGTTCGTCAAGCCCTTACCGTCGATAAATTGAAGTGTTCCTGGATAAGTCATTGTTGGGAAATTCGTATTTTACTGTTGAATGTCAATTATTGGTACCTTAGCGGATTTGTGCAATTTTTCATGTTTGGATTTAAAAGTGGAATTCAAAAAAATTTTTCAAAAAAAAAAAAAAAAAAAGAAAAAAAAAACAAAATTCAAAAAAAAAAAAAGAAAAATAATAAAAATATATA